CTAAATTAGAGAAGGGGGCTTTGAAATATTTGTTAAATTTTGCAGCGAAGGAAAAGACAAATGGGGTGGGTAGATTGAGAGGGAAGTAAGATAAAGGGACGGTTTTTTTTAAGATAGGAAAAACATACATTTTAAATTTTAATAGTTATTACCTACTAACCAACTCTGATTATCATCAGACTTTTAAAATTTTTCCAGCCTAAATAAGTGAAAATCGTTATTTGTTTTTGTTTTTTTCTGAACATTCAATTATAATGAGATTGGGCCTCTTCTAAATTTTACATTGGGTTTTTCATCTTACTGATTTGTTAAAAATTTTTAATTACTGCAGTTGTCATAAATATTTAAAATATTTTTATGTTAATTGCCTTAATTGAATTTTTGTAATAACTCTGAGTTAGGTTTAGTTTCAGACACAAATAATAGAATTCCAAACAATAGGGGCACCTGCGTGGCTCAGTTGGTTAATCATCTGCCTTTGGCTCAGGTCATGATCTGGGGACCCTGGGATCAGGCCATGTATTGCATCGGGCTCCCTGCTCAGCGGGGAGTCTGCTTCTCCTTCTGCCTGCTGCTCCCCCTGCTTGTTCTCTCTCTTTCTCTCTGTGAAATAATAAAATCTTAAAAAAAAAAAAGAAATCCAAACAATGGTTTAAATAGAATAGAGATGTATTTTCTTTTTAAGTCTGAAGATATGTTTTGGTCTTTGCAGCCATACTTAGTTTCTCCACATCAGTGGTGGTTGAAGTTCTACTCATTAGCTTCAAGTTCCAAGTAGGGATATGGGATATAGGGGTTTGAAATTTGGATCTTTACCCTTTTAGAAGCTTTTCTGGAAGCCCTACTCGGTCCATTCTATTTATATCTTAATTGCCAGGTGTGTTTTCGGCTGCCTCTGTTAGGGGGACTGAGAAATGTAGTTGCAGCATCAAACAGAATTGTGGTTGTTCTGTTAGTAAGAAAGTTTTTGCAAATGGATCTCTTTGTTTTTAAGGCTAAATGATGTTCCATTGTGTGTTTGTGTATCACAGTTTCTTTATTCTTCCATTGAGGGACGCTTAGGTTGTTTTCATATCTTGGCTATTGTGAATCATGCTGCAATGAACATGGGAGCATAGATACCTCTGTGAAATACTGATTTAATTTCCTTTGGATGTATACCCAAGAAAGGGGTAGCTGGATCATGTGGTAGTTCTATTTTTTATTTTTTTGAGGAACCTTCATGCTGTTTTCCGTAAGGGCTATACTGATTTACATTACCACAAACAGTATATGAAAGTTCCCTTTTCCCTACATCCTCGCCAACACTTGTTATTTTTTATTTTTTTAATAATTGCCATCCTAACAGATATGAAGTGAGTACCTCATTGTGGTTTTGATTTCCATTTCCCTGATGATTAGTGATGTTGAGCACCTTTTCATACACCTGTTGGCCATTTCTGTATCTTTGGAAAAATGTCTATTTGGGTTCTTTTTTTTTTTTTTTTTTAAAGATTTTATTTATTTATTTGACAGAGAGAGAGAGACAGTGAGAGGGAACACAAGCAGGGGGAGTGGGAAAGAGAGAAGCAGGCTTCCTGCCGAGCAGGGAGCCCGATGCGGGGCTCGATCCCAGAACTCTGGGACCATGACCTGAGCTGAAGGCAGTCGCTTAACCAACTGAGCCACCCAGGCGCCCCATATTTGGGTTCTTTTTTAATCGGTGTCTTTTTTTTTTTTTTTTTCTGGCTGTTGAGTTGTATGTGTTCCTTACATATTTGGATTATTAATCCCTTATTCGATATATTGCTTGCAAATAGTCTTATTCTGTTAGGTTTTCTTTTTATTTTGTTGTTTTCTTTGCTCTACAGAAGCTTTTTAGCTTGATGGAGATGGAATGTTAATTAGCTTGACTGTAGTAGTCCTTTATGTAAATATATTAAATCATGCTGTACACCTTTAAAATACGCTATTTTAGGGCGCCTGGGTGGCTCAGATGGTTAAGCGTCTGCCTTCGGCTCAGGTCGTGATCCCGGGGTCCTGGGATCGAGTCCCACATCCGGCTCCCGGCTCAGCGGGGGGTCTGCTTCTCCCTCTGACCCTCTCCCCTCTCATGCTGTTTCTCTCTCGCTCGCTCTCTAAAAAATAAATAAAATCTTTAAAAAAATAAAATAAAATACGCTATTTTAGTTTTAAAATTACAAAAATAAAAAAGGTAAGTAGAGGAATTTGGAAATAGGGTAGGCAGCTAGCAGCTTCCATGAATAAATATAAATTCTTACCACTTACCAGTATGACTTCTAGGTTTATGTCATACTTCCAAAGGTCGGTTGTAAAGAGTGATTGAGCAGTGAGTTAGCATTGAGCTTTTGCTTTTTGCTTTCCAAATGGAGAGTTCATGAACTAATAATCTTTTTTCTCCTCATTTTCCCCCCTGATTTGAATGTTACATGTACTTATTACCTGTTAAAAATTCTCAGATAGATTTGCTGCTGCTTCTGCCTCTCTAATCTATTTATTTTTTACTATCCCTTCTTTAGTACGAAACTTTGTAAACACTATAATTTTACCACTTTTATAGGATAGGGTTAACACCTCTTTTTTCATTGTTTTTAGTATTTTCTTGCCTATTGTTACATAATTATTTTACAAGTGAGCTTTAAACTGATAAGAACAGATACTACACTTGATCCCTAATATTTGGTTGTGTTAGCATCTCTTCACCTCCTGTCCAGAAATTTTTTTGAGAATTTATTGTGAATATATTGGTTAATTAGAATTGACAGCTTTACAGTACTATATTTGTCCCTCTATAGTTTAATATTCTCTTAAATGTCCTGTATATTTTTAAGATTTATCTTTAGATATGTGATATTTTTTCTATTATTGGAATCTTTTATTCTACTTTAGTTTTAAATTGTTATGGTAAAATATGCCTAACATAAAATTAACCATTTTACCCAGTTTTAAGTATACAGTTCAGTGGCATTAGGTACATTTACATTATTATGCAGCCATCGCTACCATCTCTCTCCAAAATGTTTTGCACCTTTCCATACTGAAATCTCATACTCATTAGACAATAGCTTCCAAGTCCTCCTTCCTCCTAGCCCCTAATAACCATTCTGTTTCTGTCTCTGTGAATTAGACTATTCTAAATACCTCATATAAGTAGAATAGTGCAGTATTTGTCCTTTTGTGGCTAGTGTATTTCACCTAGCATAATGTCTTTAAAGTTCATCCATGTTGTAGCACCTGACAGAATTTCCTTTCTTTTTAAGGTTGAGTACTCATTGTGTGTATATTCCAAATTTTGTTTATCTGTTCATCTGTCAGTGGACATTTGTGTTGCTTCCACTTTTTGACTATTGCAGATAATGCTACTATGAACATAGGTATACAAATATTTTTTTGAGTACCTGCCCAGTTCTCTGGGATTATACATAGAAATAGAATTGCAGGATTATATAGTAATTCCGTGTTTAGTTTTTTGAGGAACCACCATACTGTTTTCCATAGCAGCTGCACTATTTTTTACATTTCCACCAGCAATGTTCTAATTTCTCCAATTCCTCCAACACTTATTTTCAATTTATTTGGTGTTTTTTAAAAATAATTCCCATCCGGGCGCCTGGGTGGCTCAGTTGGTTAAGCGACTGCCTTCGGCTCAGGTCATGATCCTGGAGTCCCGGGATCGAGTCCCACATCAGGCTCCCTGCTCGGCGGGGAGCCTGCTTCTCCCTCTGACCCTCCCCCCTCTCATGTGCTCTCTGTCTCTCTCATTCTCTCTGTCTCAAATAAATAAATAAAATCTTTAAAAAAAAAAATAATAATTCCCATCCTAAGGGGTATGAAGTGGTGATTGTGGTTTTGGTTTTCATTTCCCTAATGGTTAGTGATATGTTAGGCATTTTTAATGCGTTTATTAGCCATTTGTATATGTTCTTTGGAAAAATGTTTAAGTCCTTTGCCCATTTCTTATTGGGTTGTTTCTTTTTTGTTGTTGAGTTGTAGAAGTTCTTTATTATGGATATTAACCCCTTATCAGTTAAACAGTTTGCAAATATTTTCTCTTATTCTGTGGGTTGCCTTTTCACTCTATTGATAGTGTTCTTTGCACAAGTTTTTAAGTTTGAGGTAGCATCAGTGGTCTGTTTTTGCTTTTGTTGCCTGTGCCTTTGATGTTAACGAAGAAATCATTGCCAAATCCAGTGTCATGAAGCTTTTCCTCCTTATGTTTTCTTCTACTATTTTTATAATTTTAGCATTTACGTTTAGGTCTTTGATCCATTTTGAATTAATTTTTATATATGGTGTAAGGTAAATTTTGTTCCTTTGCATGTGAGAATCCATTTTTCCCAGCATTGTTTGTTGAAAACTCTCCTTTCCCCTTTGAATGGTCTTGGTACTCTTGTCAAAAATCTTTGGACCTTCTATGTAAGGGTGTATTTGGCGGTTCTTTATTCTGTTCCATTGGTCTGTCTCTCTGTGTTTATGCCAGTACCATGCTGTTTTGATACTGTATTATAGTAAGTTTCAAATTTTTTTTTATAGGAAAAACACTAGTGACTTTAAATATTAATTATTAACCTGATATTTTATTGAAACTTTTTTTTAGTTTTTCAGTTGATTGTGCAAAGATATGTCTGTTGCAAATAATGATAAATATAACTTCCTCTTAAATTTTGTCTATTTTTGTCTAATTGCATTGGTTTTAAAACAGTGTTAAATAATTATGTTGCTTACTTACAGTATTTCTTTTCTTGTTTCTGATTTAATGGAAATTCTAATATTTCACCATAGTGTATGATGCAGCTTTTGGTTTTAGACATACTTCTGAACTTCTGAGGTTGACATCAAAAAGCTTAATTACAGTTTGGCAATTAATTATAGTTTGTTTCTTGTTGCTGTTAATAGGAATAAAATGTGGATCTAAAAGTATCATGGAAAGACTGCCCAGTTTTGGGGTTCATATTGTATCACCTAAGAGGACTTCAGTTGACTTTTTCTCTCTTTTTCAGAATGGCCAGAGTTTTCTGGTTTTGGATGAACAAAGATTTGCAAAAGAAATTCTTCCCAAATATTTCAAGCACAATAATATGGCAAGCTTTGTGAGGCAACTGAATATGTGTGAGTACGGGCAATAGTTTATTTGGAGTACGGTTATCAGCCACTGATTAAACCATGTTTCCCATTAGGTTGATAAAGAAAAGGGAAACTTTTGCTTTTTGTCTGTTTTAGTCATCTAAATTTTTAATCTTTTTCAGATGGTTTCCGTAAGGTTGTGCATATTGACTCCGGAATTGTAAAGCAGGAACGAGATGGTCCTGTTGAATTTCAGCATCCTTACTTCAAACAAGGCCAGGATGACTTGTTGGAGAACATTAAAAGGAAGGTGAGCTATTATTAATGTGATTTATTTAAGGCATTACCATATAGCATACTTGGCCAACACAATATTTCACCTGTTGAAATTAAGAATGTACAGAAATACACAGGTATTCCCTGTTGGGATGACTTAGACTAATAAAGCTTTAATTATGTCCTTCTATTTTATATTTTTTCTTTCCTAGAGGGAAGGAAAATGTTTACATTCTGACTGAGGGTGAGGAATCATCCATATTGGGATGGCTCACTCCTTCCAATTTAGCTTAAAAAATATTAGCTCCTGTTAGAATGTTGACTCCCTTGGAGGGCTTTTTCTGTAGTTCACTGCTGAATATCCGATACTGAGAATAAGTCCCTTGCATATAGTAAGCATTTAATAATACATTTTTTAATGAATGGTATCTTTTGCTGAAATAAAGTATTTTTACTAAATCCACAAAAAGGGGATAAAAGAGTAATGGGCCATGAAAGAAAACGGCCTAGTGTGCAGCTGTTACTGCATAAATTTAATTAAACGTGGAATGTGATAATAAAGAAGCTTGGGGAAATTACAGTGAGTTTGGTGAAAGAGAATGAAAAAAAGTCCCTAAGTTGTTCCTGCTTGTGTAAACTTCTCCACATTAAAAAAAAAAAAAAAAAAAAAAGATTATTTCTTATTCTGTCTTGAAGTTTATTCTTTTTATAGAATCCTGTCCTAGGCTTTTTGGAACTAAATCTGAGTTCCTGAATGGGCTACAAAACACAATAGGGAAATTTTGAATTAAAAACTTGGTGTTTAGTATTTGATTTCCTAAATTTGCTTTCAAAAGGTTTCATCTTCAAAACCAGAAGAAAATAAGATTCGTCAGGAAGATTTAACAAAAATTATAAGTAGTGCTCAGAAGGTTCAAATAAAACAAGAAACTATTGAGTCCAGGCTTTCTGAATTAAAAAGGTAAAATATTATTTCCAAATATAATCTTAATATAGGGGTTGGTATGTGTGTGTTGGGGGTTGAAGGTTAGTGCTTTAAGTACTTAGATTACATTGTTGAAGCCAAGGTAAAAGGTCATTTTTCTCTAAGTATTGGTTCCCTTTAGTTTTGATTTGTAGCCCTTGACTTTAGCTCAGTATTATATTTTCTTGACAGTATTCAAAAGAATTTATAAATCTGGGCAGTTAAAACAGTTTGATGCACAAGTCCCACTGATGAAACAATAGATCTTTAAATCAATGTAGAAAATACGATTCTACTTAGGTTAGCTTTCATACAATGTTCACACACATGAGGGCATACAAGCCATTAAAAAACACTACATATGTTACTCATATATTCTTTATGGTGGTTTTATAAAACTTTTCTATGTGACCTATCTCTTAGGAAAAAATAGGACATAAAAAATAGGGAAAAAGGATGCAAGAGACTTGCCTTACTTGGTATTTATCTTACCTAGATGTGGTAAAGTGTTATTCAAAACTTTTATTATAGAAACATGCTTTTGCTTTATTGCAGTTCTCGGCACCATTAGTTGAGACAGTAACAACTTGTATACAGAGTAGATGTGTACTTTTCTTAGTAAGTAGTTGGGATTTTCTCTTATCCTAATAGGGGCTGAGGTCTTGAGAGTAGTTATTTTATGGATTCTCTCTCCCATTTCAAATGTGGGACATTAGTTTAGCTGTCTTAAGTGTCTTCATTAAAAGAGTAACCTTGAACTTTGATTCCCTTTTTGAATAAGGCTTAATTTTAAGCTGTCCCATTTTGCATATTTTATGTAATCACTTATGCCAGTTTACTGTATGTATCTTGTGTCTCCTGAGGTGCCCTTTGACCCAATTCCTTGAATCTCAGGTTTAGCCCTTAAGGAATGGGATCCCAGATTCATCCTGTAAGTTTTAGAGGTAACCATTCTACTTAATGTTTAGTAGGCAGATGATAGTATTATCTTTCAATATCTGAGTCAGAGAAAATACCCTAGTTATTCAGTAAGTATTAAAGTTTTATTTTCAAGATCTTCTATATGTAAGATACAGAAGTCCCTTTTGTAAGAGTTTGGCTTGAGGAAGATGGATATTATGGAAATTAACAAGAGCAAAAATTAAAGTATTTGATAGGTGAATTATCTTTCATGCCTTCTCAGTGTTATCGTTGCTGCTAACATTTAATAACAGTGCAATTTCAATTAAAGTTAATGAAGGAAAAGAAACTGTTATTACTAGGCAAGTTATTGGTTTGTCATATATTTAGACATGCTTTAAAAAACTTTTTTTAGTGTTTTTGTATGTTTGAAACAGATTTTAAGATAGACAGTTTTAGGACCTGATCGACTTTTAGATCGACTTCAACACTTACTACAAATAATCCGTGTGATCTTAGGCAAGTCCTCTCAATTCTTGGGTCTCATTGTCCTCCTCTATAAAATAAATAATTCCTTTCTTGACTGATTTTATAGAAGTTTAAATAAGAAGTACACATAAAATGCTTAGCATAATCCCTGGAGCATAGGTAGTGCTGGGTAAATGTCACTTCCTTTAAGAATTCTTTTCTAAGCGCAAGTCCTAAATTTACTTGGTAGCCATAGTTGAAAGGTGTTTATTTTTTAAACAAGAAGTAATGAACCACATTGTCAGAGAAGTAAATTGCTTGCTACTATATGGATATAGGCATGAGTTTTACATTTTTGTGTTTATATTGCCATGAGTAGAAAGTACTGTAGTTATGAAGGGATGATTCTGGAGTTGTATCAAGATAGTTGTCATTTTATGTAATTGAACCAGAGTTTTTCCAATTTCATGAAAATATATAGCAAAGTTCTCTGGTATTCTTAATTAAAGTTATTGAGGTCTGGCTTTCTGACTAAATTTTATTTTGTTTTTTAAAAAATGATAACATAGTGAGAATGAGTCTCTATGGAAGGAGGTGTCAGAATTACGAGCAAAACACGCACAACAGCAACAAGTTATTCGAAAGGTAAGCTTTTTTCCCTCATGACCATAATCTGCCTTTGTTTAATTTGTGTACCATTTGTGACCCAAAAAAGCCTCTGTTGAATAGTGATTGAGCTATTATATATTAGATATTAGGTTTACATATAGTAGTGAAACTATGAAATCAAACAAATTAGGTCAACCGTTGTATTTTCTTTTTAATAAGAAACATTTCTCATTAGCTAAATATTGTTATTCCGTACCCTCAGCTTGAGTCTCATTAGCTTTTAGTAAGTGACCTTTAGCCTGATACAACAACTTTAAAGATGCTTTATTTTTAGGAACATAATAGAAAGAAAGCTACCAGTTTCTTTACATTTTTTACTATGAATGACAGCCTTACTGTGTGGGTTTGTTGTTATTGTTTTTACTATTTTTTTTTTTTTACTTGAAAAGGCATAGATATGGTCTTGGAAGACAAATGACTAAAATTTTCAAATCAGTTGACCAAATTATGAGTTCAAAAAGATTAGTTATCAGTGTATGCCATTATTAGTCTCTACGGAAAAGCAGTTAAAGTAGTGTGTTGTAAAATAAATTGTAGATTTTAGTATCTGAGCTGAAAATTACTGGGGAACTGAAAATCTCTCAGTTGCCTTGTGTCCTTGTGATTTGGTCTTTTCATATCAGCTTTCATATGTTAATAAGACTTGAAACATAAAAGTAATTAAGGCAGCTATTTTTTGCTCATGAGTAAACTAGACTCTTAAGTTTAAGCAACAGGTTTTTGTGGGGGGAGGAAGGGTGGGAGTACTTCACTTGGTTTGTGCTGAGATGCCTTTAGCTAAAAATAGGGTTATGACAGGATCTGGGTCTAGTGGAGCAGGCTTAGAACAGAGATGAATGGTTGCAGTCTTTGGCCTGTAGTCAAAATAGATACACTGTTTTTTTTTTTTTTTTTTTCTTTTCAAATCAGTATGCAAGTGAAGGTTGAATGTAGAATTCAGTTCTAAGTGTTTAGTCCAAGTGCATGTATTTTCACAACTTCCAGAGCTGATTCTAGCATGCAGCCCTGTTAAGAATACCTGATTTAAAACGATAGGTGTACTTTATTAAACCTGTACTTTATTTTAAAAAAGTCTTCTCAACTTTTCCAGAAAACAATGTTTTATAGTTAAATATTGACTTATAATACTATATAATTTTTTTCCTAAAAGCAAAAAAAGTTGGTAAAATACTTATATAACATTTCAGTTTTTCATGAAAGCTAACATTCTGTCTGTTCAAATTTGAGTTTGAATATATGTGGTTTGGTGGAGCTCTAGGGATTTTTATAATGCATAGTGATAGCTGATGATCTTTTCTCTATTCCTGGAATTGCTTCATACGTCTGTCATTTTACTCCTTGGCCTTGGATTAGTTGGAATAGTGTATGTGAGTTACCTAGTATAGGTACTTGTTACAGGATAGGATAATAGTACCTGTTAATAGAACTTGTCAGGTCCAGAAGTTAGATGCCGTAAATGTTAGAGGTCTTATCTTTTCCTTCAGGAAGGAAGCTTTGTATAGCGTGATGCAGAATTGTCATAAGAGAACTAATATGTAGAACAAATTTCAGGAGAAATTTAGCCAGTGCTTCATGTTCTTATAAATTCAACCACTAATGTTTTTAGAATTTTTCTGTAACATTTATAAATTAACAAAAGTAACTGAAGCCAAATTATTTCATAGATACCTTTAAGCTTAAATTTGTCTTTTCATCAGCCGTCAGTCAACGTTTTCTTTTGAATAAACAGTTTAGTGGCTAATTTCCTTTTCATGACTCTAATGCTGTTTGACTTTTCTGCAAAGAGCCTAAATAGTCCTCCAGTCCCTTTTGGTCTTTATTTATAGCCTCTCAGTGATATACTGCTTTTCATAGTTCACCATATGATCCTCACCTTTTTAGCTTCTTCAGAAAGATGACAATAAATTTCAAGGCATACCCTAAGCCAGTGATTCTCACATTCACATCAATATCACCTGGAGGACTTGCTAAACATACATTGCTGGATCCTGTCCTCAGAATTTCAGATTCAGCAATTCCAGAGTGGGGTTGAGAATTTGTGTGTCTAATATGTTCCTGGGCTAATACTGCTGGTCCATGGACCACACTTTAAGAAACACTTAATATGAAATACATAAAATATGAAAGATTGTTTGCATGTCTTGATCAGCTTAGTAGTTCTTTCCTTTTAAATTTAATCCAGCTCTGAAGATTAAACCAGCTTCTCTTGATTGGCCGCATGGGTATCTTGGATGTTTAAGAGCAAAACCATCCAAAACAAAATCTGTTCATTGTTTATTTGAAAAAAGTATATGTATTCTAACTTTAAAATTGTGAATTTATTTTTGGATAACCTCTAGTTACTATATTTTGGGGTTTATTTCTGTTGCTGTATAATTAAATATTTCATGACAATATTCTTTTTTAAAACTTTTATTTATTTGTCAGAGAGACAGGGAGAGAGAGTGAGCCAGGGGGAGGGGCAGAGGTAGACTCTCCGCTGAGCAAGGAGCCCAATGTGGACTCGATCCTAGGATCCTGGGATCATGACCTGAGCTGAAGGCAGGTGTTTAACCAACTGAGCCACCCATGACAGTATTTTTATTAAGCAATAATTTTTCTAGAATAAGCCAAGAAGCTTTTCCTAGCTTGAAAATTTTATGCTCTCTTCTGAAAGAGCTGGCAGTCTCTTTTGCCTCAAATTGTATTACCTGGGTTAAGAAAAATGTTGCCTGTCACTTTTTTTTTTTTTTTTTTTCTTTTTGGTACATACTTGGGATCTGTATCCGGGCATGCTTGATTCTTAGCATCAAAACAAGTAACTGAGCTGAGTATTGGGTAGATATATGGATGGGTGGGTGGATGGATAGATGAATGTCTTAGGCATCTTGGTATCCTAGGTAGCTGCAACTTTTATTTTATGACAGGTTATTCTTCTGCCTGGAAACTGATTATTTCTTTATATAACAATTGTAAGATGCACCGAGATTGCAAATTTGTTAACGTGTGAGAAATTATGTGACTTAGAATAGAAAATATGTAGTATTTGAATTAATTTTTTAAGACTTGTAATATGGACTAAAGAATTAGAGGAGTCTATGATGGAAAATTTTTTGTTTATATTTTCCTTTTAGATTGTCCAATTTATTGTTACATTGGTTCAGAATAACCAACTTGTGAGTTTAAAACGTAAAAGGTAAGTTTTTGTTGTAAAACACTTCGTTTGACCTATTCATGGACAACTAAACATTTTAGTGTTTAACCATGCATGGCCTACATTTGCTTAGTATGTCTGTTGTCCCAGATGAACAGTCCTTCCTTGTTAAATTATACTCTCAGCATTTCAAAAGTAGTGTTATTTCTTCCTGCTGTCATCTTGCTAATGTTTTTCAGAGACAAGGATAGCCTAAATGGTCACTTTACAGACACATACGTAGTTAATAAGGAATCCATTTTTATTCACAATAGCAGTTTAATGTAACATTAGAAGGCTTGTGTGAGGGAAACTCTTAAAAGAAGGTCATATATTGAAAAAAATCAAAAACTTTTTACTTGATCTCTCATGTTTAATCCACTAATAAGGAATTTAAAAACCTATCTATTGACTATGGCTTGTGATACCGGCAAGTGTTAGTAACTGCCATTGTCACAACTAAAGCTTAAGAAGGATAGTGGACAAAGGAATAGTTGGAGGGAGAAAAAACTTATCTTGTAAGACTAAAGTTGTAGCAAAGCTTGGTTATGGTTACACCTTATGCTATGGCCTTAAGTCAGCTTCCACAAACTAGTTCTTATATCATCTACTTTTTACTATGTAAGTACAGTTCATAAAGAGTGATACAGTTCAGTCAGCAATGAAGTATATCCAGAGAGAGTAGTTTATTGTATTTATTTTAACAAAAATAGTACAAAAGAATGGTGAAATCAAAGCCCTAGACACAGTCATCTCCTAGTTTCTGTTCCTAAGATGTGACCATTTTTAAGAGTTCATTGTGTATCACTAACTGAAATCTTTTATTATTAAAGTGTGTATGTTCGTGGGAGGGTAAAATATTAGAAGCAGTTGAAATTTCTTATGTTTGCTTCACTGAATTTCATGAATATATTCTGATTTTCAGGCCTCTACTTCTAAACACTAATGGAGCCCAAAAGAAGAATCTGTTTCAGCATATAGTCAAAGAACCAGCTGATAATCACCATCATAAAGTAATTTTTTGTTTAAATTCTATTTTATATTTGTTATCTCAGACCAGTTTTTATTACAATATGCAGTATTTCATGCATTCAAAATTTGCATTCAAAGTTCAGTGAATAATAATCTAAGTGCTCATGCTCCAGTTTTATCTAATCATGACATTTTATTATTTGCTTTAGATTATTTTAAGAAATAAACTATTACAAATATAATTGTTTTAGTTGCCTGTTCCCAAGTTTGTTTTTTGCCTCTTCAGTCTCTCCTAGATAATCATTATCTTGAATTAGTATTTATCATCCCCATGGTCATTTTATATGTGTGAATTCATGAACAGTATTTGTATTGTTTTCTGTGTATCTCATACTTCATATAAGTGATACCATTTTGCATTGTGACTTTTTCATTTGGTTTTGCTTTTGAGATTTAAACAGATTTAGATCATCTGAACTACTACCTGATATCAATTGAATATTATGATAATGTAACTACGCATTTTTCCATTGGTTATTTTAAGTTGTTTCCAACTTTTATTATAAACTGCGTAGACTTAGACTTTTTAGCAGTTGCAAAACATTTTTGTTTACCTTTATTTTTGTCGTGGACTCTCTGGATCATTTGTCAAACTTAAACAGTTGGCAAATCAGTTCAGTCCAGAGTCTACACTTCTTTTAATAGATGATTGTCATTGCTACATTCCAAATACTGCTTCAGATTTGTTATTAAAGTACCAAGATTTTTTTTCTTGAGCAAATCAGAGTTAATATCAGGTTTTTCTTCCCACTACTGTTTCTAAGTAAGTTTACCTAACTATTGTGTTTTTAGGATTGAAGACTCAATGTAAATGGGTGAAGATTTCTTAATTTAACTGGATTTATATATTTTTAAGTCCTTTACATATTTTACCTCAGATTTATCTACTGTTGAGATTTATGGATTTTTGCATTATAATAGTTTAATTTGCTTTAGCGAATTGAATATTTTTTTATTTAGGTACCTATGATCTGAATATATCTGTGGCAGAATAAAAAAAAATTATTGCTAAAAATTCAGGCTGACTTTTAACTGTGGAATACTTGTAATAGTTTTTTTTTCTATTAATGAAAGCATTTCCTATTAATGAAAGCATTTAATAAGAAAGAATAAACCATATGTCAAATAGAGTAGCTTCACTATTTGACATACGGTTTATTCTCATCAGCACAGTGGCCATCTGGTTATGCTTGAAATTCCTGGTGAAGTTTTAAGACTTTTTTTTTTTAACCCTTTGGATATAAAAAGTACTTTAAAATGTGAAGATCTTTCCATGGAATCATTCTGAGGCATGCCACCTTCAAGATTCCTTACAGTAAAAGAAATAGTTAAGTAGAATAAAGCAACACACCTCATACCTTTGTGAATTCATACGAATACCAATTACTGTGAGTCCTCTTAGGGCAGAGGACATAGCTAAATTGTTTCCTTAACATTTAGTAAACTATGGGTCTCCAATTAGCACTTTTTAAATGGTATATTGTTTGGTAGTCAATATAATTTCAATTTTTGATATATTTTTTCTCTGATTTTTTTTAGGTTCCACACAGTAGGACTGAAGGTTTAAAGGCAAGGGAGCGGATTTCAGATGACATCATTATTTATGATGTAACTGATGATAACGCAGATGAAGAAAATATCCCAGTTATTCCAGAAACTAATGAGGATGTTATATCTGATCCCTCCAAGTAAGGAAATTATGAAGTAAAATTTGTGAAAATATTGGTTACTTTTGTTATCAAAGAGCTAAGTTCAAAACCACTTCACTGTATGATAAACTACTCTGTAACTCATATTTGGATTATTAAACTGAAAAAGCCAAATTATTTAACCAGATGTTCTCCCCTCAGCAAAAAGACTTCCAACAAAAAGTAATGAGAATTCTGATTTTTTAGTTTTGGAGTTAAACATCTTTAATTCATCCTTTGTGGTCTCGTATCACAGGATGAATCAATATTTGTGGTTAAGCTACTCACCCAAGGAAATTTAAGCTTTTTAATATGCGTTTTGGGGAGAAAGCTTCCATGGAGAATGAATGGACAGAATGAATTTATTGAATGCATTTGAAAATGTAATTGGTTCTTTCTCATATTGCTGATTTAGCTGTAGCCAGTACCCTGATATTGTCATTGTTGAAGATGACAATGAAGATGAGTATGCACCTGTCATTCAGAGTGGAGATCAGAATGAACCAGCCAGAGAATCCCTAAGTTCAGGCAGTGATGGCACCAGTCCTCTTATGTCTAGTGCTGTCCAGCTAAATGGCTCATCTAGTCTGACCACAGAAGATCCTGTGACCATGATGGATTCCATTTTAAATGATAACATCAATCTTTTGGGAAAGTGAGTGCTCATGTAGATGTTATCTGAGTTTATTTGCTTTCTTTGTTTACTTCACATGTTCTGTTCTCTTTGAATGATCTTCCTTTCAGGTTATGAACCCATGTAATCTATCTTTCTTTCTTTTGGTCAGGGCTGAGCTCTGCAAATGTTTTTTTGAGAAGGATTTAATCATCCCAGGAGCAGTCTTGAGATTTTCTTGGCAATTCCTTAGATTTCTTTAATGAGATACTTGTTTTAAATGTCCATAAAGCGTGTGTGTATGTGTATTTTGTGTTTTTATCAGGACTGTGGAATAACATAATCTCCACTAAGGGACTTACTTTATAGGATAAGGAAACCAGAAATTAGTAGCATTAATCAGTAATAAGTTAAACATTTTATAATTTATAGTGTAGAGGAGAAAAGATAAATCAGACCGTGTTGCACAATCTATTTTCTATAAATACTAAAGTTTTGTATAAAGGCTGTGAGTTCTCAGTTAACCACATTTTCAGGAATCTCAAATACTGAATAGGATCTCTTAAGGTTAAGAATTTTGTAATGTGATTTTAAATGTAAAAACAAGGAAACCTAATATTTGATATATTTTTTTAATCTTATTTTCCTCAGGGTTGAGCTGTTGGATTATCTTGACAGTATTGATTGCAGCTTAGAGGACTTCCAAGCCATGCTGTCAGGAAGACAGTTTAGCATAGACCCAGATCTCCTGGTTGATGTAGGTACTTTGAATAATCTTTGCTGTACTGGCAGTTTGTGTATTTACGTATATTGTTTATAAATCAGTACATCATTTTTTGTATTCTCATGTTTTTGCATTTTCTTTTTTTAAATGATTTTGTTTATCAGAAACAATGAGCAGATGGGTTCAGGACAGTGATCACTACCCATTTCTGAATAGCAATTCAGTTAATCCTCCTATAGCAACGTATCAATTCTGTTCAACAGTACTACTAAATCCAGGTCTTCTCTGGACTTGTTGCCGTATTTGTTTTGCTCTAGAATAAATTGTCACTGAATAGAAATTGGTGGAAATTAAGTAATAGAGTTACTTGGGCAGGAAACAGCATGGAGACACTTTTTGATACTTTGGGAATTAATGTTTTCCACTCAAATGAATTATATTTTATTATATTTGCTATATTTTTAAAAGTTTTATGTCCTGAGTCCTAAGGTTATTCTGTTCCAGTCCCCACCACCACCTACATGAACATGACTCCAGTGTTAATCTGCACTGTGAATCCTTATCTGCCATTTCTGGCACTATCTTTCTTGCTCTCTTCCCTCTTGCTCCTACCACTCCTCTCTCCCTTATGTGGCTTAGTCCCATCCAGATGAATGGTCCCATCCAGATGAATATTGTTCTCTCCATGATTTCCATTTTCTGTTGTAAATATGTTTCTCTATCCTGAAAAGTTTTGTTGCTCCTTTTTTTTTTTTTTTTTTTGCATTTTCTGCCTTAAAATGCAGCTCTCTCACATCAAAATATTCTGTAGTCTTGTCCTTTTAAGAGCTTCTCAGTGAGGCTAAAAGGAATTAGTCCTTTCCTACTCTTCAGTCTTATTAATTTACCACCTTACCCATCTGCCTCTCAGTCTTTGTCAATATCCATGATTTGATTATCCTTTCCAAATCATCAGTATATTACAGGATGTATTTCACTTTCTTTGAAGATTTCCTTTCCATACTGGCCTATGTTATCATCCTAAGTGAATTCAACATCCATGTTAATGACCTACTTTAATTTGTTAATAGTAATTCGTCAGCCCTTCTTGATTCTGTCAGTCTTTGTCCCCACCTTGAATTGAGGGACCTTTTAGAATAGCTGTCCCTTAGGTCATAAGAAGGAAATAAAATTCTGTAATTCTGATCCTCTACAAATCCTTTCAGTCTTCAATTAGATTATTTTAATTTAACCTTGGAACATTTATACTTGTCTGTCCTCAAGACCTGATCTAGCCCACTCTTCCCTATTCACAGAGGATAATCACCATGCCCTGGTTTTCTCATAAGCTGTGGAATCTCATCTTCTTTTTTCTTAGAGGAAGTGCTTACTTTCTCTTTTAAGCTTATTTGTACACCTGCCCTCTGCCTCTCTGTTTTTCTGTCTCTGTCCTTGATCTTTCCCATCTCGCTTCAGTGAATACAGATCTCCATCTTAAACATTTGATGTGTTGCTCTGATCATTTACCATTTTGCTTCTCTAATTCTTGTACTACAAAACTTTAGGAATGAGTGGCTTTGTTAGTTTATTTTTACTCTATATTTCTTTTGAAACCCTGCATTGTCTTGCTTATTTACTGTAAGCCTGTGCTGCCTTGGTTTATCCATAGTGAGTAGGCTACAGTTTTTTTAAAAATCAAGCCGTTGGGCTAGTAGGTTTGTTTTGAATTGACAGATTTGGGTTTCGTTTGGCTCATGTCACTTACTAGCTATTTAACTTTGGGAAAGTTCACTTCTCTTGCCTAGTTTCCCCATTTGTTAAATGTGGCTAATACCTAATATGAAGGGCTCTTGTGGGGATTATAAATAATTAGTGCTATTATTTTTAATACTGGTTATTTTTGACAGTGGAACTTCTGTTGATTTTAGAGGCACTGAACTTCTTTGTTTTTTTTCCTGTCTTCCTAACTATTCTCTGTTTACTCTAAGAGCTTTTCTTTTTCCTGTTTCCTATCTGTGAGTACCCCCCCAAGGTACCCATTCTTTTATCTTTTTATTCTATGTCTCTTCTTTTTCTATCCTTCCTCTGTGAAGGGATTTTGGCTTATAGGATTGCTCTCAAATTTATATCTCCAGCTCTTAATAGTTTTTTAAAGTAAACTTTGCTTGAATTCTAATTCCATGCCTTTGGGATCATCAGTTAAGATCTTGCCTTAGATTATTTGTGTTTAACCCCAAACTTCTCTTTGTTCTCTAAATGAGCTACACTTCTCAGCTTTCTTATTTTCTGTAGTGGTATCAGACTTCCAGGAGGGTAATCACTGAGTCATTTTGGTTTCCTTATCTTTAGCTCACTGTTCATCAAGTCCTGTGTATTTTCAAAAATAGCACTCACAGATCATCCCTTTCTGTTGCCTCCCTCATCTAAGACCTTCATTATTTCATCCTTGAATTATGCTGATTGTAAAAATCACCCATAGGTTGCCTTGTTCTCTGAGATGGCAAAGATGGTAAGAACATGAATAGGTATGCTGAGTTCATGGGTTCTCTGCAGAGTTCAGTTCTAAGTGACTGTAGAGTCAGCAGGAGAGGCCTGGCTTTAGGATTCAACCAACTGTGTCAACTCCTCATGTATGGTCTACTTTTTTCTGCTTCACACTGTGCATCTTCTGTGAAGGTATCCCTGATTTATTATTACTGTTTTTTAAAGATTTTATTTATTTATTTGACAGAGAGAGACCCAGCGAGAGAGGGAACACAAGCAGGGGGAGTGGGAGAAGGAGAAGCAGGCCTCCCGCCGAGCAGGGAGCCCGATGGAAGGCTCGATCCCAGAACTCTGGGATCATGACCCGAGCCAAAGGCAGATGCTTAACGACTGAGCCACCCAGGCGCCCCATTATCCCTGATTTAGTGGGTGACATTGGATGGGGCAAAGAAGGAGTGAGGAGCTTATACTCTACAGATACCACTTTCAGTAGGGACAAAATCTGGTCAGGTCTCAGAGGCAGTGACAAGCTGAACTTGGCAGAGATTAGATTGGCGGTCATGTAAGCTATCTACTCTAAAGGATCTGAGTCTCTTCCTTTTCATGGATTAGTAGATAGTATGAAAGGGGGGAAATTAACAAAAGAAAAGAGCTGGGGATATTTTTAGGGCTATCATGAAAGTGGAACTTTTTTTTTTGAAAATGGAACTTTAAGGAGAGGAATCAAATGTCTAGAGACTGTGGAGGAGTGATCTATCTGCATTTCGTTCTAGCCTGGTAACCATTTGGTGTGTTCATTCTCCTAAAATGCTTTCATCACTGTATTTCCTTGCTCAGGCCTTTTCCAAGGCTCTTACTGCTGACAGAATGTGGCCTTATGCTCTGACCGGCCTTGGCTTTACTTCTTGAACTTTACACATATAACTTACTATTCCACTCAGAACTTTTATGTTATTTGGACTGATCATCTTGTCTACTGCTAGAACTTACCTCCCCTCCCCCCAATCATTCCTTCTCTATTATTGCTAATGTTATAACTTATTCTTCCCTCCATTCTCTCCTTTCCAAGTCCTAACCATTCTTCAGTGACTGATATGTGTTGGATAGCTTCATCAAGACTTTTTGTTTCATCTTTGTGTGTGTGCGTGTGCGTGCGCGTGCATCCATGCACACACACGATTTTCTCCTTTTTCTTCTTAGTACTTTTGACGCCCACCATCCATTAGTATTATAATAATGGATTGTATCTGATATACTGCTATTTGGTATTGTTCTTTTCTTTTAGATTGTAAGCTCCTAGAGAGCAGGAATAGTGTCTTCATCTTGTATTCTTCATGATATCAGTTATTTCTTAGATGCTCAATAAATCCTTACGGAATGAATGAAGCTTATGACTTAAAAGTTATGTCTGTAAACTGGCTGGACTGAGGCATGCAGTAAGCAGTGGTCTTAGCATTTACGTCTTCTGTTGCTAGGTGAGGTGAAAACCAACAAGGAGGTATGCCGTTTGGTCAGAGGGCTCTGTTTGAGGTGTAATTTAGGAGCCACCGTCATAGAGCAGATTCTATAAATTTCTCACATAATTAGCAGTGAAGGCTTACTGTCAGGGCTAGGAACTTGGTCCTGGGTGCCACTTAAAGCCAAAGGCATTTAGAGAGAAAATAATAAGGAAATGAAGGAGAGGAGAAGTTGGGCAAACCACTCTTTGTCTTAAGTGATTTGCCTCAGTGTTTTATAGAGAAATTCTTTCAGCAGCTGATGCATGGGCTAGCTTGCTCCGCTTTTGTATGTTTTTCTTTCTGCTTTCCTGCTTTTCTCTTTCAAACTGTTTTACTGTATGAAAACTTCCTAGTGCAGGAGCTACATCTCTTCACCCAACATGGCTGTATAAAAATTTTGAACACACAGTTAATTCTTTTTTAATATTTTTTAAACTTATCATCTTTCTTGTTTGGTCTTTCAGCTTTTCACTAGTTCTGTGCAGATGAATCCCACAGATTACATCAATAATACAAAAGTAAGTTTTAATTCATGTTGCTCAGGACCCATAGCTGTAAGAATCTGAAAAAAAAGTCCTAGTAAGTAGAGAGCAGTATCACTCCCAGTTACAAAAAGCATTTTGTATTCTTACCTTATATGTGTGATCAAGATAGTAAAATTCTAGATGAAAAAATAGCTTTTGGTTATGGGGTGAGTCATTGCCCAGTTCTTCAGGCAACTGTTTGATTAACTATCAGTACGAAATGAGCCCTCAAAGTGCTGGGAGATCAGCTGACTTAAACTTGGCATGTTCAGGTGTATCACTGAAATAAATTATTAAAATATTATTTCTTCATGTTTTATGTGCTTCAGTTTACATTCTTACTCCTTCTATAAGCAGCTCAGCATTTTTTATTGGAAATTCACTGGTACCCATATTCTTAAATAAGTTCCTTCATTTTATTAGCATGCCATAAAAGCTCAGGGATTTGAACTAATTTGTACTAATTGTAGGTACGGCAAGTTGAAATGATGAAGTATGGATTTTGGACTTTTTTTTTTTAAAGTAATGGTTTTGTTATTTTCCTAGTTCCAGTTGGGATTAGCAAATGTTGACAGGAAATTCTTTAGAACTGGTTTTTAATGAGTAATAAGGACAATCTGACATTGTTAAGAGCAAGTGATTAGAATCATTCTATTACTTTGTATATAGCTTATACGATAGGTGTTTTTACAATAGGTGTATACTCTGTTTATCTTGCATTTATACCAAACTGTTCAATCCTATTTTTTTATTGAATACAAAGGTGTAAATCAAGTCCTCTGAAATTTGTACAGGTTCTAGATTAGTGAATTTAAAATTTTATTTTGGTTTTTGTTCTTTGTCGTCTAAAAATGAACACTTAGATATAAGTGATTAGAGTGAGGGGGTAGAATTTTTCTAATGTCATGTGTGAGGATAGCCTGACCAGATTTTCTACATACTCAAATTTCCAGCCTGGGTAACTTAGAGTTGAAAGAATTTGTGAGTTTTTGAATTAACAAGTTGATTATACATTGAATATTTGGATTTTTTTTTTAAGTAAATAACACCTGAAATTTTTTTTTTTAAGATTTTATTTATTTATTTGACAGAGAGAGACACAGCGAGAGAGGGAACACAAGCGGGGGAGTGGGAGAGGGAGAAGCAGGCCTCCTGCAGAGCGGGGAGCCCGATGCGGGGCTCGATCCCAGGACCCTGGGATCATGACCTGAGCCGAAAGCAGACGCTTAACGACTGAGCCACCCAGGCGACCCGAATATTTGGATAATTTTTATCGGGTTAGCATACTTTTTATAAAAAGGCCAGTTGGTAAACACTTTGAGTTTTGCAGGCCATATGTTCTCTGTCACAGCTACTTAACACTGTAATTGTAGTGCAACAGCAGCCGTAGACAATACGTAAAAGAACGAGTGTGGCTGTGCTTCAGTAAAACTTTATTTACAAAAACAGGCAGCATGCTGAATTTGGCGTGTGGACCACAGTTTGCCTGGATTTATATTGTAAGTTTCTATGGATCACCTCAACACACTGGGTTTCAGTAAATATGGTATTATTAAATGTTAGGTCTTAAGGTAAATGAACCCATATCATGCATTCATTTAGTGAATGTGCTACACTGTTTATTGCTACACATTGAATCATTCTTTATTCTTGGATTATCCTCTCTATTCCAAAACCAATAGCTTAATTATTACAGTTTTCAGGAATACAGTTAAACAGCAAATTGCATATTGTTCTATAGTGCTATAAAAAGAAAATGACTTTTCATTATAGTTCTAAAATCTAGATTAATGTTTTCAAATAATTGGCACATCAGCTGTCATTCCCTTGCTCATGACAAGTATTGTATTAACATAGATTACAACACTTTTTTTCTAATAAATCAGGATATACTTGTACTCTTTAGTAGTAGAGCCATCTAAGTGGTCACTACTAATGAATAAGAATTTGTACGGGAGATGAATCCCCTTTGTCATCCTGGTTCTCATATGTTTTAGAATAACAGTGGCATCCTTGAAAACTGCCTATTTTAAAAAGTAAAAAATAATGATGGTATTATTGCATTAATGTTTGTTTATTGCGATTGCTAAATCAGAAATGTTTTTATGTACATTTTTGGAAAGGTTTAGTTTATTATATCTTGGGGCCATTATTTCTGAATCTGGAAACTTGCACTGCTTCATTTTATGATGAATATCAGGGGAATCATAGGAATTAGTATGTTTTTTACACCGTATATACTTAACGAGCATGCAAGTGTCTGGGACTTAAAGCTATTTAGGGAAAATTGTGAACCTCAGCACCTCAGTTTGAACATCTTTGAAAAGAGCACTGAAGAACTAAACAGCATTAAAGGTTTAATCCCCTTTACAATCAGATGTGAGGAGAGAAGACTGGTTCAAAGAAGCAATTTAAATGACAGAAAAGAACTTGAAAGGGTCTCAAAAAGGAATTGAAGAAACTTCACCTCCACTTTGAGGCTTCCAAATACAGAAATAATAGTTTTAAGGATATCACCATGTCATCCTGAGCTACTCTAAATATGTTCACTTATGCTAAGTATTCTGTTTGTGAGTGAAGAGAAATGAATAATACACACTTTTAATCAAAACTGTTTGCGTTTAATTGATTAAAGATTGAAACCAGCCATCTTTGATTCATTCCCATCTTTTACCTGTAACAAATTCTGTCTGTTCTTTTGAAATGCCCCCTCTTTTCATATTTAACTGTCATCCTAGTTTAGGTTCTTTGTTTCAGCCACTGATGATAGCAATAGTTTTCTTAACCGGTCTTAACCAGTCTTACCTATTCAAATCTCTTTCTCTCTCTAGTTCATCTTTCCTGGTGCTCCCCTTTCCCCTTTATTTCAGATAATATACCAATATTCACATACTGTACCAGTTTTTTTTTTTAATTTTTTGCTATTTTTAGGAATATATAAAATGTGAAACAAGTATTTTTTATATTATTTTTTCTCTTTTAGTCTGAGAATAAAGGATTAGAAACTACCAAGAACAATGTAGTTCAGCCAGTTTCAGAAGAGGGAAGAAAATCTAAACCCAAAACAGGTAGGTATAAATGTAGTATTAGCTTTTACAGATTTTTAAAATTAAGAGTACTACATAGAAACTAATGTGAGCCAAGAAAAGTCTTTGCCATACTTAACAATTGAACACAGAATGTACTGTTCTCAGTTCTATGCATAATGTATCAAGGTTTCAGCTTATAGAAAAAATTAAATTGGTGAGGTACTAGTTCTTTAAGTTTTTTTTTTTTTTTTTAATTTAACTTTAGGAGAACTGAAAGAACTCTCTTAGTTGTTGAATAAAAGACTTAACTCTTCTGACTAGTACATTTTAAAATTTACTGACACAAAGTATCATATCTCTTGTTTGGGTGTATAAGGGTCGTGATTGCATATATGCACAGCTGTTTCCATTTTTTCCACCTTCAGCTTGAACTCTGTAAAAGCTGGTGATAAAAGAGCATTTTTCTAATCTTTATTATAGATAAGCAGCTTATCCAGTACACTGCCTTTCCACTTCTTGCATTCCTCGATGGGAACCCTGCTTCTACTGTTGAACAGGGGAGTACAGCATCATCAGAAGTTATGTCCTCTGTAGATAAACCCATAGAAGTTGATGAGCTTCTGGATAGCAGCCTAGATCCAGAGCCAACCCAGAGTAAGCTTGTTCGCCTGGAGCCATTGACTGAAGCCGAAGCTAGTGAAGCCACACTGTTTTATTTATGTGAACTTGCTCCTGCACCTCTGGATAGTGATATGCCACTTTTAGATAGCTAAATCCCCAAGAAGTGGACTCTACATGTATATATTCATCAAAATGATGAACTATTTATTTTAAAGTATCATTTGGTACTTTTTTTTGTAAATTGCTTTGTTTTGTTTAATCAGATACTGTGGAATCAAAAGCACCTTTTGCTTTTCTCACTTACACACTCTTGCAAAGCTTTCAGATGTTACTCGGCTACGTAGGTACACAGAATTTAATGCACATTGTTGGCATTATCTTTAAGTTGGCTTCAAATGGCCATTTTTCTCCAGTTGTAGTAACTTGGATTTCTTTTTTACATATATGCCCATTAACCCCAGTTAAACTTTTGTTTGTTTTACTTGTTTGATGCTGTCTGTTTGCATTGAGTGTAAGTCACTAGAACTAATGGTAAAACTCTTAAACCTTTGTCTGTTCCAGTTACTTTTATCAAATATTTTTCACTTGGCTTATTTTTAAAACTGGGAACATAAAGTGCCTGTATCTTGTAAAACTTCATTTGTCTCTCTTGTTTAGAGAAGTTCATTCATGTTCAAAGGAAAGGCAAAGTATACATGAGTGCTTGCTGTCAGATAGGGCTCCAGCTCCATACACATAAAAAGAAGGGGGATGGGATGGTGTCAGCCCCATCCATCTCGTTGGACTAGTTTTAAGTAAAAGTTTTCTGATTTGTTTGTGTTTTTTTTGAACCATACTATTTAGTAAAATAAATATAATGAATGTTGCGTACTAGTGTCTGTTATGTGTCTTCTTTAGAGGTGACACCACATGTAAAAATTTTTCCTTTTTATAGGAAGTAGACTTTAATTGTAAACTGTTGTCCATTATTGAGTCACATCAAGATCTTTGTGCCTCATCTCAAGATAGACTGTGTATTACAAGAAGGAAGGAACATAGAGGTCTCTAAACTTAATGTGTTTTAAAGTTCTTCTGTGTTAAAAATTATATTGGCTTGCTTTCTATATTTCTAATAAAGGACTAAGAGAAGTATGCCTCTCATTGTCCCAAATGAGATAACATTATCATTGGATGCCGCCCAGAGACCTGTAATTTTTGCCCCTAGAGAAGATGAAACAGTAACACTTCCTCCCTTTGGAATAGTTGCTCAGTAGGCTTATAGAGGCATAATGCAAGGCAGGCCCCTCTTTTATCAAGTTGAATTTTACCTTCAGGCAGAAGGCTGGAAGCAGAGCAGTTTATATCTGAATATTTTATAGGGCCATTTAATGAGTAATTACAAATTTTGCCTTCCTCTTGGCCATATTCTGTCTCTCTATATCCTGGAATTTCTCTTACTATGATGTAAATATTCAAAGTAAAGCCTAGCAGAGAGAGAGAGAGAGAGAGAGAGAGGAAACCCTTCCTTCGCAGATCTTAAAACATTTGGCTCTGACAGTGGCATCTTGGTGAACTAATTCAAGTCCCCAGAAGTTAGTTTCTACATAAGCTATAGAGGTCACTTTCCTAGAGGTTGTTAAAGTGAGAACAAGAATTTAGAGGCTGAGAGAGAGAACTTTAGAGATTATTCCCTTCTCTTCTTCAGTGTGGTGGAATATGATTAAGTTTCTTCTCCTGGGGGACATTTTGGGGCTTTAGAAGTCTTGTAAAAATCTTGAAAAATTTAATACCTTCTAGTACTTTTTTAAGTTGAATTTAAAAATTTTCATCTTTAGTTGGAAGGAATTTAGGGTATTGTTAATACTACCACTTAAAAATAAAATTGTTAGTTTAAAAATAGTTATATGCTTTTTAAAATGTATCTAAAGGAATCTAAATACCATATTGATTTGATATCCGTCATCATCCATTCCACTTCTCCCAAGAATTTTATCCTACTTTTATTATGTGTGAAAGTTATACATCAAAGATACTGTCACACTTCTCTGCAACTAAATTTGAAATTGTTTCCTATAACCTTAAGATTCTAAGCATTAAAGAAGTTTGTGGCCAATTACACACAGTTCATCAAAACAGTATAATTATCCAAACCATTTTCTCTGTCATGCAGTTAGATTATTTCTACTCGTAAACAGGGTGGCTGTGTAACTGAATTCTGATAAATAAATTGGAAGTGATGTACAGAACTTCCAGGTCTGGTCTGTGAAAACCTCCCCTCTGCAATCCTCCTTGCTCTTTTACCCCTCCACTAGCCTGATGCAGAGGAGTATGTGGCTTCTGAGTATACACACAAGAAGGAAGAAATTTGGCTTCCCGAATCACTGCTTAGAAGAGAGCCACCATCAATCTTGGACACCTATTGTAGACTTCAGGTGAGTGGAGAATAAACTATGTTCTGCCTTTGGATTTTTTTTGGGGGGGGGGGGTTGATCTTACTGTTCGCTAATACTCAAATTCTAGCAGACATTAAACAGTAAAATTTTATCAGAAATAACATTTTTAGTGAACAGGTCTCGGTGCAGGGGGAAGAGTACTTCTCCAATTTTTTTGTATCTGAGGGTGAAGGTTATCACTGTAAGAGCATCAGTTTCATTCCTTTTTGTTTTCATAAGTGTACAACTCTTAAAAACTTTATAATTAAAAAAAAATGGAATTTTGTTACAGCACTATCACTCAGTCCTTTGAACTCCTTCAGAATTATATACTAGAACTATTTTATTTTTTAATGACTTACCAGCTGGTGACTTAATTAGATCATCTTTTGATTCCTTGAAAGTGAAAAAACAGAAACTACCTAAATTGCAACAGGATTTTTTTCCCCCTAGTGTCATTCTTTCTCACCAGTATTTAAAATTTTGTCTTTATTGGGTGTTGGAGATTTTATCCGAAGTGCCTTGATAAGATTTAGAATGTGTAAGAGGTACATCTTTGTTAAATGTGGGAAGTAATTGCTAAGAGGGACGATGCCTTGATGTCCTTAAGGCATCTTTTCAGGCAGATCCAAGTTCAGGAAGGAGTAATAAGGAAATTGAAGATCTGGAAACTGATTTCTCTAAAAACTCTTGTTTACCAGAGGAAGTCTCTGTACTGTCTGGAAAACAAGTACCACAGTATGAAGACCATTAATTTTGAGACTGCTCCCCCATCTTCATCCGCTTTATAACTTACTTTCACTTAAGGGGGGGCCGGTTATAAGTATTGCCACCAGAAATCACGTAGGACAGCTGTATGTTCCCTTAGGGTGTGTCACCTTGTTTTTCATAGGGATGGTATACTCAAGTGATAAAAGGCTTAAATGTGAAAAGTCTTCAGACTGGGAAGATGACAAAATGATATTCATTGTGATGAACATACATAGAATGTTACGTTTAAGAATTAGAGCCTAGGGTGCCTGGGTGGCTCAGTCAGTTAAGTGACTGCCTTCAGCTCAGGTCATGATTCTGGAGTTCCAGGATCGAGTCCCACGTCGAGCTCCCTGCTCAGCAGGGAGTCTGCTTCTCCCTCTGACCCTCCCCCATCTCATGCTCTCTCTCTCAAATAAAAATCTTCAAATTAAAAAAAAAAAATTAAGAGCCTATTCATTTCAAGCACATATGAAATATTTTTTGAGAATTGGTTGTATATTAGGCCATAAAATGAACAAATTTCATGAAATTGGTATCAAACAGACTAACTACAATACAAATAAACCAGACCTTTACAGTCCTGAGTACTGGCATCATATTTTGTAGAGTGACCTTCATTTGGATTTCATGTTTTCCCATGATTAGACAGGAGTTAATGGGTTTGGGGTAAGAAAGACCACAGGGGTGAAGTGCCATTTTCACCATTTATTTATCCTACTGGTTTTTTCTCTGGAGAATCCTAGTAAGGAACAAAAATTTCTCTTTATTTTACATCTTAGAACACAGAAAATCAAGGGTGTAAGAATGGAGCATCTGCCCAGTAAATGGGGATGCTTTCAGAGCTGTTACAGGGCAGTACTAAAAAGTGTGTTGAGCTGGCCAAGTAGTGACAAGTTTAATATAAAGGAACTACAACAGAGAAAAAACGTTAGGTCTTTTAAAAATTGATAAATTGAAGCTCATCAAAATTAAGCACTTTTGCTCTGCAAAAGACCCTGTTCAGATGGAAAGACAAAGATAGACTAGGAGAAAATATTTGCAAACCATTTATCTGATAAAAGATGTGTATCTAGAATATATTAAATCAAAACTCAACAAATTACAATAAAAAACCATCCAGTTACAAAATTGCCAAAAGGCACGAATATTTTACTGAGGACCTATAGATGGCAAAAAAGCAAATGAAGAGATACTCAACATCATTAGCCATTTGGGAAAGGCAAATTAAAACCACAATGAGGGGGGTCTGCCTTCAGCTCAGGTCATGATCTCGGGGTCCTGGGATCGATCCCTGCATCGGGCTCCTTCCTCAGTAGGAAGCCTGCTTCTCCCTCTCCCCGCTGCTGTGCCTACTTGTGTTCTGTCAAATAGATAAAATCTTAAAAAAAAAAAAAACAACAAACCACAATGAGGGGCGCCTAGGTGGCTCAGTCGTTAAGCGTCTGCCTTCAGCTCAGGTCATGATCCCAGGGTTCTGGGATCGAGCCCCACGTCGGGCTCCCTGCTCAGTGGGAAGCCTGCTTCTCCCTCTCCCACTCCCCTACTTGTATTCCTGCTCTGCTTAAAAAAAAAATAAAACCAGAATGAGGTAACACAGTATTCCTATCAGAATTGCTAAAATTAGTGACCCCAAATGCTGGCAAGGATGCAAAGAAACCGAATGGTTCATACATTGATAGTGTGAAAACACTGGAAGATGGCAGTTTCTTACAGAACTAATCATTTAACCCACCCACAAGGATTCTTCTAATCCCTGGTTCCAAAGAACCACTGATTCTTTATTTTCATCACTGAAAGCATATTATAATAAATGTAATGATACTCTATGTGACCTTTTGGGATTGGCTTTTTAATACAGTTGCATACTTCCTTGGAGATCCAGTCAAGTTGTTTGTGTACCAAAAGTTCATTCTTTTATTGTTTAGTAGTCCATGGTATAGATGTACCACTGTGTGTTTAAACATTCACCAGTTGAAGGACTTTTGGGATGTTTCCAGCTTGGGCTATTGCAAATAAAGCAATGAACATTCTTGTACAGATTGTGTGAACATAAGACTTTTCTGAGTAAATGCCCATAGCCATTGTCTTGCCTGTAATATTGGAGAAATCATACCATTTTAAATTATTGAATAAAGTACACTAACCCTTGCTAACTCATATGGAATAGAGTACTTCATTACTACTTTTTGTTGTTAAGGGACTTTTTTATGTCATCTTGTGTCAGAAAGCATCCATTTGCAACTTAGGAAAAATGCCTACAGGACACAGATATAGAATATTTATCAAATGAATTAAAAATATTCTCCAAACTAAACTGGCCCATCTACTAAAGGCTCTTTAGGACAACGTCACTTTAATTACCTGAGATCCAATTTCAGGGGTTACTTACAGAGGACCAAAAGGGTGTAACTGCCACCTTTAAAACAATTCAGGTTTTCAGCACACAAATGGACAGTTAACCCTGTTTCAGCAGGTTCTTTCATACACAGAGAAAAAAAGTAGGTCTGAGTATTACAGCCACCTAAATTTGAGTTGCTAAAGAATTAATACACCACACACTTTCTCTCAATTCATTTATTTGGAGATAGAACACAGCCATTCAAAATGATGGAACACAGTATCAACACACAGAATAAAGTTGGGGAATTAAGTTTAAGTTGAATTGTTCTCTCTCATTTACATTAATAAATACCTTAAAAGAAGCAAATGTAGATTTTTAAGATTAAGACACTAATAACATGTACAAGTAACTAAGTTTCTAAGTTAACTGTCATACTGCTTGATTTTCAGGTTGAACAATTGTAATTATAATAAACTATATTTCAATTAGATGGCAGCAAATACAAAAGCATTTTAAACCTCTTCTGAACTGTAGAGTGTACTATAAGCAGTTTATATTCTATAGCATTCCATCATTCTCCTGGCCTCAGTTTATGGGTAGAAGGCAAGCTGGACACCAGCAAATCACATAACAAATTATCCACCACTAATGAGGTGTATAACCTATTATGCATGGATTTTGAATATAAGTTAGAATGCCAAAAGAATGCCAGCTATTTTGGGGAAACTTGGGATTTCCCAGGTTGGTCACTGATTAGCTACAGTTTTCTTCATTTTTAAAATGAAGGATTGGACTAGATTTTACCTAAGTATCTCCTGAGGCTTAGTATATTACAGTTTCGTCCTGTCAAGTTTACCACCTTTGATTTTCAAAATGAACTTTCAAAGTGCCCCTTCTAACCCATGATTACCTGAATTTTTCAAAAGCTTTGTCTAAATCCTTCAGAGTTCCTAACATCTCCATTGAACCTATACTTTTGCAAGTGTTTGTAACGGCTAAAACAAAGTTGGTATGTTGGTATGAAAGGCCATCCCTACCCAGGGAAGATTACAGCCTAACTGGGTATTCAAATTAGTAACCCACCACCACCAATCTTTCTATGAAGCCTCTGTCTCTTAATCTCCATCATAATTTACACTGTTGTCCATCAAACACTCCCTACCTGTATACATTCCTTATCTTCACATCAAGGGAAAAACCTGAAAAGATTTTTCAGACAACTTGTTTATACAATTTTACAACAGCCATGTTCTTTGCAGTCTCTTGTAGGGCAAGGCATCAAATATTTCAAAAGGCAGCCATACATTTCCTTTTATACTTTCTAAAACAGCTTAGGGACTAGCACAATTTAAAAATCAAACTGTCAGTTTTGTTTTTACTCTTAATTTCACAGGCACAGAGCTAAGGATAAACCTAACAATGTCCACTTTTCCTAACTCACCACCAGACTCCTAAATCTCTCCCTTTGTAATTCATTCTAACACACGTATCAATGTGCATGGCAAGAATACAATGAATAAAATGGCAAGCGATAAAATCTAATTCATGCCAGAACACTGGAGAAGTTACATGGGAAGCACACACATACACAACTTTACAAAAGTTGGGAATACTGTTAATCTCAAGCAATGATCAAAGTGGGACTTTCATGCCAGAAGTCCCGTTCAATCAAAATCACGATTTGTAAGAACAAGTGGTGCCACTAGTGTCCAAACATACAGCACAATGCCAATCCAGCTAGAAGAGATTTTCACCCACACCGCTGTCCACTGACTCTTCATCTCACGAGAAGGCTCGTACCTAAAATTTAAGAAAAAAATGAAAGGGAAAGGGTTGGATTATCAGCTATCATGCTACTTATTTAGCTTTACTTCAAAGGTGTTCTTTGTATACAGTTTGTGATTACAGATACACAATTGCTGAGCTAATAATCTGTTGCCCTACTTGCCATACTACTTTAATAGCTAATGTGAAGGTAAAAATCAGTTTCCTTTAAAAGAGTAAAGGACATTGGCCTCTGAAGTAGCCCTTTTACTAATACTCAGAGGCTCTTTATGTACAGGTCCTCACTTTCTGAAAGTTTGTTAGGCCACTCTGCTTTTACAAAATACCTACGTGAGTAAGGTAAATGGCTTTTTTCTTAAAAGCAAAATTTCTCTTTGGGTTTCTTCAGTTAACAAAAGCAGGTACTAATATAAGTCAGAAAAATGAAGTAGCGTAATACAAACTATAACAAAGTAGGGGGGAACCTGTATTTTTGGCTTAGTAGTCAGAGATAGCAGAGAAATGGAGTGTGATGCCTGGATAAGTAAGATACTGTTATAAAAAGACTTATCAATCCTAGGGACGCCTGGGTGGCTCAGTCGGTTAAACGTCTGCCTTCGGCTCAGGTCATGATCCCAGGGTCCTGGGATCGAGTCCCGCATCGGGCTCCTTCCTCAGCAGGGAGCCTGCTTCTCCCCCCCGGGGAAAAGGGATTGAAAAAGACTTCTCAATCCTATCCTCTCTAGAAAGTATAATCTGTTCAAAGTGTATATATATGGGAACTGCTCTCCCACCTTCAGCCTTTTCAGATTTAAGAGATTCAGAATACATCCCAAATTTACCTACTTTTTGTGCAAATGAAACATACCAAAAATATTTTTCATCTAAAGTTTTGGGTTTTTTTTTTTAAGGTTTTTAAGTAATCTTTATACCCACCATGGGGCTCAAACTCACAACCCTGAGATCAAGAGTCACATGCTCCTCTGAGCCAGCCAGGTGCCCCAATCTGAAGTCTTAACGTTTAATATTATCTGACAGCCAAAGCTGTGAATTACTGAACACTACATGGATTCTTATCACTTAATATGCTGCAGTGTAGGAATTTTAAAAAATACTTATTTTTCAATAGTAAATGCCAGTAAAGTCTGCTCTTAAAATGAAGAATAATCTTTTTTCTACATCTTTTTCTGATATTCAAAGTCCTCTTACAAGTTGTGAAGGGTATTCTGCTTAAAAATTATTAAAAACAGAACTTTCCAAACCATATAGTTCAACTTGAATCTTAAATTGGATCTCTCAGTAACCATTTTGACAAAATTAGAAATTTTTTGAAAACAAAATAACTACTTTCCTATTACCAGAAAAAGATTTATAAATTGTAAAGTGATAAAAAAGCATAAATTACAGCTACAGAGAGTTCTAAGGATCCAATTTTAGAGTAGCCATATTCTTTATATTAATCTACATTAATGTATTTCTCAATTCTGAAAACTTAAGTGCTTTTAACAATAGTTTGAACAAAACAGAGAAAAAGATAATTTATCTTACACCATGTCAGGGATTGGTTACAGTGTCAAAAAAATAAAGCATTGTGTTGAATCAACTATTAACATGGTATTTCTGTAAAAAATGTGTTAATTTCATGAAGCTTCCGATTTTAATTTCTTCAAGATTTGGAAGTATTTCAATATTAATGCCAAAGCAAGGAAGGAAAGTCTGCATTTCTCATACTGATCTCATTATTCATTTAGATGTAAATTTTGGAATACACTGGAGGATAAAAAGTACTTCATACCACATGCTTTGCAATGCAATCATGAAAAGCATCAAAATTTCCACATGCACATGAAATATAATTACCTGTACCAGTTGGTAAGGGTCATCATGATATAGAGTGAAGCCAAGAAAAGCATGAAGTGAAAGAAGGAATAACTATAAGTAACACCATCCCTTTCATTATCTACAGCTCGATGAGCATCATCTCCATCCTCCAGTGATCCATCACTTCTGGCTCCACCATCTTCTATTAATGTTGATTCATCACTTGTTAGAGTCAATTTATTAACCTGACTGTTGTTCGAAGTACGGATGCTGCATAAAAGACAGTTAAGGAAGAAAGAAAAAGGGTATTTAAAAAAAATGATTTTTAAATGAATGGCTAGATTTCTTGTTAAAAAAAAAATCCACAATTTTTCTTACCTTGAATAAAACACACACAATAAAAAGAGGATCAGTCCTATAATTCCTTGAGCATGCCACCACTGGACAGACTGCCCCTCCTTTGGAACAGTGCTTGTTGTATTGTACCCAATTATGCTTAGTAGACTTGGGTTGCAGTTTGTTTCTGTAATGTAAATTAAGGTCAAATTAAAATGTGAGAACTAGTATAAAAAATAATTTATTTTGGGGGGCCTAGTTACAGTTTTTTTTTTTTTTTTTTTTAACTCTTTATGGCCTTGCATATTCAAAAAATTTTCCAGGAAAAAGGTACAAATATAAGAAAAAAATACTTTGAAACAACCTGTATTTATTGATAATGAGACCTTTTAAACATCATACTGCTAATTTTATAGAAGTGCCCAGAAAAAACAAGTAATGTCATTTTAAACCTCGAGAACTGAGATATTATTAAGCTTTCTACTGATCAAGAAATAGGTGAAATTTAGATGAGCTCTCCTAAGTATAATAAAACTCTAGTGCACTTAGGAATAAAATTCAGGTGTTCTAAACGAAAATACAGTGGCTTTTCCTAATATACGTTGTAAGAGAACAACAGTGACTTTACGAAATTTATAAACTTGTCAAAGTATGTTGCTATGTAAGCAAGGTAGCTTATACATAAAATTACCAGTTACTAGAATTTTAACAAATGCTTTGTGGAAATGTCCAAATAACTCTTAATGACCTAATCCGTATTTAACTTTCGTAAGAAAAAGTAAGGTTTGTATTCACTGAAGTACCCAAATGTTTTTCTCTCCCACAAAGCCAGATATATCAACTACCATCTTATTAATGAAACGATCCTTAATTAGGGGAAAAAACAAACAAGAAAAAAAAAATGATTCTTATCTTAGAGCTATTCAGATTAAGAGTAAGCTCTAAAGCAAATTAATAAAATTTTTTTTTTCTAACCACTTAACACCTGAACAAAAATAATCTTTATTTAATACTAAAAACAGCTTTCCTGGGGCGCCTGGGTGGCTCAGTTGGTTAAGCGACTGCCTTTGGCTCGGGTCATGATCCTGGAGTCCCGGGATCGAGTCCTGCGTCGGGCTCCCTGCTTGCAGGGAGTCTGCTTCTCCCTCTGACCCTCCTCCCTCTCATGCTCTCTGTCTCTCATTCTCTCTCTCTCAAATAAATAAAATCTTTAAAAAAAATAAATAAAAATAAAAAAAAATAAAAACAGCTTTCCTCCAACTATTCATAAAGTACCTATTGAGTTTATAAACTTGAAATCAGATTCAGATGACATTTCATAATTTTCTTAAGTGAAAGGGAACATTTTCTTTTCAAAATCAGTAATTTCTCGCTAATTTGTTTCACCCCAAATGATATATATTGGCTTCTAATCTCATGGAATGCAGTGTAACTGGCCTACAGATTCATTAGAAAGCCCAATTACGTTCACTTGCAAGGTACTCACAGACAAAAATATCTTAATTAGTAAAAAAACAAAAACAAAAACAAACTATACTGCTTAACAATGAATCAAGGAGCATTTTAATAGCTTTTCTTTCTATATATACTATCATAAATACGACTGTACAAATTAGGTGTATTTGTTATAACTTTCACATTAATTTCTTATAATTTATTAGTGAAAGAAACAAAGTGAAAAAATACATAGCAGTACATCAAACATGAAAATGGTATTATTTCCATACTGTTTATTCCTCTAGAGGCTTATTTTTCTTTTTTAAAGATTTACTTTAGAAAAGAAAGCAAGAGCAAGAGAGCATTGGGTGGGAGGTGGGGGTGGGGGGGGGGAGAGGATCCGAGGGAGAGAAAGGATCTTAAGCAGACTCTCTGCTGAGTGACCCAGGGATGATCTCAGGATCCATGAGATCAATGACCTGAGCCATAATCAAGAGCCAGATGCTTAACCCACTAAGCCACCCAGGCACCCCTAGAGGCTTATTTTTTAAATAGCTTAATTTCTCAAAATGACCATCTTTGAAAAAAAAAAAAAGTTGTAGAATTCATTAAAAAGAACCCAAGCAAACAAAACATACCTGGTTCATTGGTCATGGCAGACCATGTCAAATACATTGTGTAGACTGTGATTACTGAAGACTGTAACAAACCAGATCTTGGTTGTGATTCCTACAAAGAAAAATTAAGACGAATAAATATTCTGACATCATTCAAGATTTAGGGAAAACTTAGAAAAATGGAAGTTTCATAAAAACTAATGCTATAAAGATCATACTTGGATTTTTGGCAGTATAGACATTACAGAGGCACCAAGGCAGAGGAGCATGTTGACACTGATGAATGCTTTATTTTCTGAACAACTGGCTGGATGAGTATAATAAACAAAGAACAGGACGATAGCAACTAAAGACAGCAGATAATTCAGAGCTGTAGCTGATAACAATGCTGTGAAAGAAATATAATTGGACAATTAGAATTTATCACGAATATTAGGAATTAGGCATAGGGCCCATTTTAAAAACAATCATTTTATTCAAAATGTATTTTAAGCAACTACCATTGTCAGCATTATGCAGGCTATAAAAGCAGAGAAGAATATTTCTGAACTTTATCACAGTGATTTTATAGTCTTCACACATAGCTCACTATAGTATTTTCAAGGACAGTAAGTTAGGTGACATATTAAATATTTTATTAATAGTAACAGCTCCATTACAAACACATTCACATACATTAGCCATAATTTTCAAAATACAGAAAAATAAAAGGAAACTTACTTCATGCTAAGCCCACTAAACAATGCTTTTCTGCATTAACTAATTATCTTTATTTTTTATTTAAAAATATTTTTTTTAAGTAGTCTCCATGCCTAGTGTGGAGCCCAACACAGGGCTTGAACTCACAACCACGAGATCAAGACCTGAGATGAGATCAAGAGTCCCAACGCATAGCTGAATGAGCCACCCAGGCACCCCTTAACTAATTATCTTTTAAAAATATCTTATTATGTAACAGTAAATCATTATTATTTAATAAGACAACCCAAGTTTCTTCTAGGTAAATTAAAACACATACAATGTGTTTGTTTTTGTGCTAATATGTGCTCAGTATACAGGTGTTTATGCAGATGTGCCTGACGGGATCCACCCAACAAATATTTATTAAATGCCTACAAAGTTCTAAGCACTGGTGATACAGCAGGGAACAAAACAGAAACTCTTGCATTAGATGTGCATTAAAGAACGAGGTGTTCTATAAAAGTGAATTTCCCAAATGACTAAAGCTTATTTCTTTGAATACTAAACTCTATTTTTTTTTTTTAGTGTTATTTTTCTTTTCTTTTTTTTTTTTTTTAAAGATTTTATTTATTTATTCATGAGAGACAGAGAGAAACAGAGGGAGAAGCAGGCTCCCAAGGAGCGGGAAGCCCGATGCGGGACTCGATCCCAGGACCCTGGGATCATGACCTGAGCCGAAGGCAGACGCTCAACCATCTGAGCCACCCAGGCGCCCTGAATACTAAACTCTATTTTAACCACCGAGATCAAATACCACAAACTAGCTGTGAGAGAAATACCAGACTAGCAGATAACAATGGATATACCTTTCAATCTGATTGAAAATATTTAGCTGAAACTCAGATCATTTCACATAAAAATTTAGATTTATGGCTTCTTTTGAAAGAAATCAGAAAAAAATTTAAGCAATACTGAGCCCACATTTCCACAAGGCAACTACTATATGAAACTGAGCAGCAGCTATGCACACCTTAATTAGGGTCTTCATTACAGTTCTGTTTGCACAAGGACTGACTATGCACTTAACCCAAGTCTCTTCCCTCCTTTTCATCATCTGGGGCAAGCCAATGAATTCTGATCCCTGTTCTGCAGTATAACCACTGGACTCAAGCTCATCATACAAATCAAACAGTCACACTACTACAAGAATCCCCTTATGTGTTACTGACACAAAAAGGCATCTTTCTACTTATATAAAATGAAATGTTCTAGAGTTGCTTTTCATATTTTTTCTGCATGCTGATGTTTATGAATGCCACTGTTTATTTCTAGCAGTCCTAGTCCCTTTAATATTTTTAACCTGCTCTAGAATAGGAAATTAGGCTGTAAAAAGTACATACTGTCAGCAGTAGCCTTTGCAACATCTGTTTTAGCCATTCAAGGTATTTTGGATTATTTCCTGGCTCTTGGGTATGTTCTAATTGATTCCCTAAAAGCTATCTCAACAAGTAAAGTTGTTGACACAATGTGATAAGATGCCACTCACAAACTTTTCAAGTAAACACCTCTTCACAAAAACTTACATCATAAAAATCTTGATTTCCCTATAGTCTACATATATGTTCTCACCTTCAGAGTTCATCTATCTTGAAGATGCTTTGTAAGACAAAAGCTTACCTGCATACCAACATCTTGAGTTCCCTTCTTCCATTTTTTCAACCCATGATTCATTCCATGAATGGGCAAAATCAATAAGTAAGACTAGCTGTATGAGGATGAAGCAAAAGGCACCTGCCATGCCTACATAAAACCACACTGAAAGAAAGAAAAAAACACATACAATTGAGTGGCTGGTTCACTTTTTATTACTTCATCTTCATACAATACATGAAAGGGAGAGTAGTTTTACACAAATGCCTTGATTTTGCCAACTGCGGTTAAAAAAAATAATAATAATAAAACAAGTAGTGTTATAGTCCCAGGTAACAATTATGTCGGTTTCTTTATAAAACATCAACATCACACAATTAAGAAAAGATTTATTACCAGTTGTAAAAGTTCCTTCTGGAATGAAGAAAGCCCCAATAATAATAGCAATCGCTGCAGCAAATTTAAAGAACCAAAATCTAAAAGAAATAGAAATATAGTTTACTAATAAATATTCACTCAACAAATAGTTTCATATATGAAATCATTTAAGAGCATCTGA